CCCCTCGCCCGCCTCAGGTGGCTGGGGACGGCGCCGCGCACTGTCCACCCGAGAACACAGCCGCTTTCAGCAGAGGGACCGCGACAGGAGACAGAGCCTGTCTGTGGACGCGCGTACACCGCCGGCTTTATTTGTCCTCCTGGCAAAAACGAACACAGAACACACATTTTCAAAGGATCCCGGCTTCCTGTTTTCATTAAGAAAGCAGGGAATGTCGAACAGCTGAGTGTGCCGGGGGTGGTGTCTCGCTCCAGAGGGAGACCTCATTGGTGAAAACTCGGCCTATGGGATTTGTGCGGGGCCGGCCAAGTTTACCAGAAGGTTGAAACTTTTCCTTATGGGGTGAGGAGTCGGAGCTGGCGTGGGCAGCTCTTGCCGTTGGCCAGATCTGGCTACCTATCTGACACTGGAGCCTGCAGCTTCTCTGTGCTCTTGGAATTTCAGTGCTAGAAACAGGTCTGGCTGCATATTTGGAGTAAGTGCCTTCTCCATGTGGAGCTGAAAGTTAAAACTGAAAGAAAACGAAGGAAAGACTCGTTCTGTGAGCGTGAGCTCCAGCTCAAGGTCAGCTCTCCTGTGCTTAGGTAGGAAGTGAGGGGGGCTGAGCACCGCTTTCCAGCAGATTTCCCTTCCCACGTGGGTTAGAAGGGAACCTGAGTGCCTCCCTCTAGCAGCTAGAACAATTCAGTGCTATTTTCTGTTGGGACAGGAGGAATACATACCCTTTTGATTCCTCTGCTTCCCAGTCTTTTCATCCCGCTTTAGAAGAAAAAGCGCAGATGGAGACACGAGGTTGCTGGGAGCAGCCACACTGTCAGATGTGAACGTGGGGCTATGTGGTGGCTTGTGGGACTGCTTGGACCTTGAAGGCAGTCAGGGGGTGCGCATGCCCAGGTCGGGGGAGGGACGGTGCAGACGCCTTGCATTTTGCCCTACAGTTTCTGGGTCCATACTGTAGCTCTAAAAACCGTATGGGGAACGCATTTCTTGATCCCACTGTTGAAACAAAAACGGCCTTGCTTTTGATTTGGAATGGCATGGCTTAGGTCAGCAGCAGGTATATGCTTTGAAAGGCTCTTGCGTTTCCTTTTTTAAATGTTTGGTTTCGCCGCTACTTGCCTAGCGGTTACCAGATGCCATGTGATCCCATGGTTGGAGTATAGGTTTGCCCCTCCTCTGATTCTCCTGTGCATCTGTTCGGATTTGTCACCAATACATAATATAGTATTCTCGGGATATGAATATTTTGTCCGAAAGAAATCAACATGCAGAAAAGCCTTCCTCTTGTTGGAAAAGAGTTTTGTTTTGTTTTCAGACGGGGAAGTGGAGGACAGAGTTGAAATCTGCCCTCTGACTGTTCTTGTATGTGCTGCCTGGGTTAATCACCCAACATCCTGTGTCCCAGCTTTCTCAGCAGGGAGGGTGGAAGGCACCTTGGGATCTTGCAGAGGTGGCCAGGCCCTAGAGTGCTCTGCACCGCTCAGAAAGGCCGCACAGGACTGCATGGGGGGATTGAGCCCCAGGCCGCCTGGATCTGTGGTCGACTTTTAGCTTTTTGTGCCTCAGATGACACTTTGTAAAACAGGAATTGCAATGTCTGCTACTTGTGCTTCAAGGGACTATAGAAGACAAATGAAAGTATCCACTCGACAATGCTTTTAAGTCTTCTTTAAGGCAGTCTATTAAAAATGACATCTTTGGAAAGGACTTGCTATGTGCTTGGCTCTTTACGCATTACGTTGTCTAACCTGTGAGTTAAATACTTGTTTCTCCATTTTTACTCCTGGAAAAGTGAAGTTCAGAGATGTTTGTTAACTCGCTCACCAGCCGTTAAGTTACAGATCCAGGATAAGAACTTGGCATTATCAGCTCTTACAACCAAACCAGCTTATTACACCACAGTGTACACAGACATTAGCTTTAACCACTGTGTGTATTACATGACTTATAATACTCTCGCCTCTCTCTCTCTCACTGTCTCTCTCAGCAAGAACAGATGATGTTCTGAATGGAGACCATGACAACGAACAGAAAGACCCTTATTTTGTGGAGACCCCCTATGGTTATCAGCTAGACTTAGATTTCCTTAAATACGTGGATGACATACAGAAGGGAAACACCATCAAGAAACTGAACATCCAGAAGAGGCGGAAGCCACCTGTGCCATGCCCAGAATCCAGGGCCACACCTGCACACCCAGGTGTGTGGACTTCTACCGAGTCCCTCTCATCTTCCAACAGTGATGACAACAAGCAGTGCTCCAGCTTCCTCCTAGCCAGAAGCCAAGTTACGTCAACTCCAACCGCGAGGCCACCTGCCCCACTGGAGACCTCGCCCACTTTTCTTACCGTCCCAGAAAACCGACAGCTGCCTCCTCCCTCACCACAACTCCCAAAACACAACCTTCATGTGACTAAGACACTGATGGAGACCCGGAGAAGACTCGAACAGGAGAGGGTAGCCATGCAGGTGACACCGGGTGAGTTCAGAAGGCCCCGGCTGGCCAGTTTTGGAGGCATGGGATCCACGAGCTCCCTCCCCTCCTTCATGGGTTGTGGAAACCACAACCCTGCCATGTACCAGCTTCAGAATGGATACCAGGGCAATGGGGATTATGGTGGCTACGTCCCGGCTGCAGCCACCACTTCCTCCATGGGCAGCTCCATCCGCCACAGCCCCCTGAGCTCCGGGATCTCCACCCCAGTGACCAACGTGAGTCCCATGCACCTGCAGCACATCCGCGAGCAGATGGCCATTGCCCTGAAGCGCCTGAAGGAGCTCGAGGAGCAGGTACGAACCATCCCTGTGCTCCAGGTAAAGATCTCTGTCCTGCAAGAAGAGAAAAGGCAGCTAGCCTCCCAGCTGAAAAACCAAAGAGCCGCATCGCAGAGCGACGTCGGTGGCATGAGGAAGCGGTCCTATAGCGCGGGGAACGCCTCCCAGCTGGACCAGCTCTCCAGGGCCCGGAGGAGCGGCGGCGAGCTGTACATTGATTACGAGGAGGAGGAGATGATGGAGAGCGTCGAGCAGAGTACGCAGAGGATAAAGGAGTTCCGGCAGCTCACGGCAGACATGCAGGCCCTGGAGCAGAAGATCCAGGACAGCAGCTGTGAGGACTCCTCGGCGCTCAGGGAGAACGGGCAGTGCCAACCCCCAGAGTGCCGGTCTGTGGCCGTGGGTGCCGACGAGAGCATGAGTGATGTTGTCGTGTACCACAGAGGCTCAAGGTCCTATAAGGATGCGGCCATAGGGACCGTCACCGAGACAAGGAATTCTGGAGTCAGCGTGACAGAGGCCATGCTTGGGGTGACTACTGAGGCCGACAAAGAAATCGAGCTGCAGCAGCAGACCATTGAGGCCTTAAAGGAAAAGATCTACCGCCTGGAAGTCCAGCTGAAAGAGACCACCCATGACCGGGAGATGACCAAACTCAAACAGGAGCTGCAAGCTGCTGGCTCCAGGAAGAAAGTTGACAAAGCCGTGACGGCCCAGCCGCTTGTCTTTAGCAAGATGGTAGAGGCAGTGGTGCAGACGAGAGACCAAATGGTCGGCGGTCACGTGGACCTGGTGGACACATGTGTTGGGACCTCGGTGCCCACGAATAGCGTCGGTACCTCCTGCCAGCCCGAGTGTAAGAGCCGGGTGGTGGGGCCCGAGCTGCCCATGAACCGCTGGATTGTTAGGGAGAGGGTGGAAATGCATGACCGATGCACAGGGAGGTCTGTGGAGACACGTGACCAGAGCGTGGGGGTGGAAGTCAGCATCTGCGAGACAGGCAGCAACACCGAGGAGTCTATGAATGACCTGACCCTCCTCAAGACGAACGTGAACCTCACAGACGTGCGGTCCATCGGTTGTGGAGACTGCTCTGTGGACGTGACCGTCTGCTCTCCGAAGCAGTGCACCACCCGAAGCGTGAACACGGAGGCCGTTGGCCAGGCGGAGGCTGCCGTCATGGCAGTGCCTCCCACCATGGACCAGCACACGAGCACGCTCTGGGAGCAGGTGAGCCAGGCCACCAACACTGAGACAGCCCCCCTCGTGGAGTCCTGCACCAACACGTCCCTCAGCACCTCGGACAAGCAGACCAGCACCCACCCTGTGGCCACACGGACAGTGGCTATAGGAGAAGGCCTGGTCAAGGACATCAACTCCTCCACCAAGATGCGGTCCATCGGGGTTGGAACGCTGCTTTCCGGCAGCTCTGGGTTTGACAGGCCGTCAGCCGCGAAGACCAAAGAGTCGGGCGTAGGGCAGATAAACATCAATGACAACTATCTAGTTGGCCTCAAAATGAGGACCATAGCTTGTGGGCCTCCGCAGTTGACCGCAGGGCTGATGGCCAGCAGGAGGAGCGTGGGGGTTGGGGATGAACCTGTGGGGGAGTTCCAGGAGAACCCGCAGCCCCAGGCTCCTTCGGGAATGATGACGGGCTTGGATCACTACATCGAGCGCGTGCAGAAGCTGCTGATGGAGCAGCAGGCGCTGCTTGCTGAGAACTACAGTGAACTGGCAGAAGCCTTTGGGGAGCCTCACTCGCAGATCGGCTCCCTCAACTCACAGCTCATCAGCACCCTCTCCTCCATCAATTCTGTCATGAAGTCTGCAAGCACCGAAGAGCTGAGGAATGCTGACTTCCAGAAAACCAGCCTGGGAAAAGTCACAGGTAAGCGGCACCCTGAGAGACTTAGAAATGAGGAAGGATGGGGAAGAATGTCTTTCCAGGGAGTAAGAATTTTTTTAACTGCTAGAACCATTTTTTTAAACCACAGAGAAAGTGTTAGAATGGCAATGGGTGAAATGAAAGCCAAGAACCAAAATCCATAAGCAACTCTGCTGGCTCTCATTATCTGATGGCTTTGCTGGCCTCTGGCTGAGTACTAAAACTCAGGAGAAAAGTAAACTAGGGTTGGCCAGCCTGCCTAGAGCTTTTCTCTTGGGCTGTTTTTCTTCTTCTTCTTCTTTCTTCTTCCTCTTCTTTCTTCTTCTTCTTCTTCTTTTTCTTCTTTCTTCTTCTTCTTCTTCTTCTCCTCTTTCTCCTCCTCCCCCCTTGTTTATTGCCAGAGGGCATGGGTATTCATCAGAGAGAGAAAGAACACTCCCCAGTGGGGCATAGTCTCACCACAATCCTTCCACCTCCATTTCTCCATCCCTTCAGGATTTGTGCACATAGCCACACATGCCCAAGTGTTCTGCAAGGCACCAGGTCTGGGACTCCTGGGACTCAACCACAGTTAGCCATGTGGAATTCGGCTCCCTTAACTGCTGAGCTATGGGGCGGGCCTGGGGCTGCTCATTTGATAGGATGCTTTATTCTGTCTTCCAGTTATTCACTTGCTCATTTGTGCAGAACTGCCTGACAGACATTCTACGTCATTTGTACCCACAACTACCAGTATGTTATCAGCTTAAAATAATGGTACAAAACACTTCTAGTTAAATTTTTATGAGAGGGTGGGCTAGCTGGTGGTGTGGTTAAGGTAGCTGAATCCCACATGACCAACTGTGCAGTTCAAGTCCTGGACCCAGCAGCTTAGAAATAAAAAACACCAGGCAAGTGTGAGTGTGTGTCCAGGATTGTGAGAGAAGGAGAATAGAGGAGAAGGGATTGTGGTATGGCCACCTTCTCTGTGGGGAGGTGAAGTGATTGCTTACTTTCTCTGTCTGTCTCTCTCTTTCTCCCCACTGAATGTATATTATGTATTAAGTCAGCAAATAATTACTGGATTCCAACTCTGTTCAAGCATATATTATCAGTTCTGAAGATAGTGCAGTAAACAAAACCAGAGTCCTGGGATCAGCAGATGGCATAATGGTTACATCCCTGCATTCCCACATAGTCGATCATGGTTCGAATTCTGGACCTGGTAGCTAAAACTCACACCAGACACATGTGCGTGTGTGCCTAAAATCCCAAGAGGAGAATGGAGGAAAAGGGATTGCGGTATGGCCATCCCACCGGGGAATCATTTCTCATTTTCTGTCTCTCTTTGTCTCTCCAGTGAGCACACACACCTTATACAAAGATCTCTCAAAACAAAAACAAAAACAATAAAACTAGAGTCCCTGTCATTGTGTTGTGTATATTCCATAGAGGCACAGGCCATGGGCATAGACCTACAGAATGCCAGGTGATGCATACGACAAAGAAATAACATCCCCCCTGGGGGGTGATTTCTCGCTTTCTATCTCTCAATCTCTCTCTGTCTTTCTGGCCCTATAGCAAAAAACCTCTCAAAAAAAAAAAAGGGGGGGGGCACCAGCAGTTAGAGTAATCACTA